CTGCTTGTTCTTCTTCTTGCTTGGGGCATTGGAGGCACCTTCGCTGGCATCCTCGTCCTGCTTCGTCTTGCCCTTGAGGCGGTCAAAGATCGCCCCGACCACCTCCTCGCGCCGAGGCATGGCTGGTGGCGATGTTGAGGAGCTCTTTGGTGGTTCACGGACCCTTACGCCCTAGCTTATGGACCGTGGGACTCATAGGTGGTCCTAGATAGGAAAGCTCCTATGACGCGTCGGCGTCGGCGACGTTAGCGCTCGTTACCTTCCGCCGGAGAAGCGCCGGATGTACCCACGAAGGGTTTTCCCGACCTTACATCACAGCTTTTGAGATCCCAAGGGTTCTCGTGACGCTTGTATGTGTCGTGGAAGTTTCTCACGAAGATCTCTTTTAGGTCCGCCCAACTTTGGATTCTCGGTGATGAAGGTGCTCCAACCACGTTCGCGCCGAATTGGCTATGAACAATGGAAGGTTGCGGATAATGAAATCGTCATTATCCGCTTCCACCGCTTGGCAAGCAAGCCGATAATCCTCGAGCCACGTCCGGAGTTCGCTTCCCAGTACTTTGGGATATTGGTCGGCGGTCAGTACCATGGTGGAAATGCGGCGTTGAGGATGTGCCGGCCGAAGGCCTGAGGTCCCGGAAAGTTGGGGCTCGGGCTTCGGTCCTCGCCGTTGTCGTAGCGTCCGTCACGACGAGGGTGGCAGCTGCGGTCAGCCCCCTCCCTCGCATCGCCGCGGGTACGTTTGCGGGCGTTGAGGGTGTCACACGCGTCATGGTGGCGGCTGAGACGCTCATGCACCTGGACCGTGGTGCGTGGCCTGCTGCCTTACAGCGCCTGGTGGACTGACGCGTCCTTGTCGGGTCGCTCTGAGGGCGTGTGTTGGCTGGCGTCGAGCTCACGTCGTTGGGACAGTGAGCTCTTGCCCTGCTGCGCCGCCGCACACTCGAGTAGCATGCGAATCTCGCGATGGGTCCGACGATCCTCGGGCGTCGCGGGCCCCAAAAGTCCCCAGAGTAAGGCCACCGCGGTAGCGATGTTCTGGCTTGCCCGAGCAAAGTGTGGGAGCGCTTCATCGTCCTCGATGATCCTCCAGTTCACGTCGCGGGCCATGGCGCGTGGGCCCACCGTCTCCGTGGCGCTCGTTCTCTCGCTCGAGCTCCACGCGTTCCTGCTCGAGCTGGAGTCGTGCTTCCTCGAGCTCTTGGTGCCGGGAGTTCAGTTGCGCCACCCGTAGGCGTGGTGGGGCCCTGCATCCCTCTCGACCTTGTCGTCGAGGTCGTTCGTTTGGGTAGCCTCTTCCTCGTGGATGCTTTCGACGTGTCCCTCGGGGGTACCTTCCGTTTCTCTCGTGAGGAGGTTGAGGAAAGATTTTGCGACATATTCGGTCATCCCCACGAACTCGTCGTTCACGGAGGAATAAGCTACACTACCCTTTGCACATGAGAGAGATGAGAGAGAAAGGATTGGTGAGAGGGCATTTATGCCTTTTTGCGTTTTTTTGTCTATTTTTAGTCCGACTTAGCTCAAGTTTGCCAACTAGTGAACTAATAAGGTGTCGTGTGGATGACCAGGGATTCTAGAAATCTGAATTATGTAGCGCGAAGCAGATCATGAGATTTTTTAGTAGTATTAAGACTTTTCCGAATCTGTCTTACTATCTCCTCCGATTGGATGATGTATATTTTTTTATCAAAGTTCTAAAGTCTTTAACTTATCTAAACGGGCCCTACCTTGTTGGAGTTGAACTGAAGTTTAGTACACCCATTAGTTTGTCTGTTTGGATGAACTTTATCTAAAATTTAGATGAAATAGCATAGAAGTTTTCTTTATACAAAGGAAGCTTTATTACGCTTCATAGAGATCATTATTGCCGATGGTTATTGTTTTGAGCCACCCGATCTAATGGTCCCGTTTGGCTTGTTGAAACTTGGCTGAAACTGACTGAAAAACATTGTTCTGGCTGAATTGTTTTGAGAGAAAAATACTGTTGCGGTTGAAAAAATAAGTCGAACAAACCGGTTTCTGGTTAAGCCGAACGGGGCCATTATTCCGGAAAAAAAATGTTGTTTTGGAAGGAAACTTGTCACGCGCAAAACGAGAAACCAATGATGTGAACATTCGCGTGCTGCTGCTGGTGTATTTGTCCAGCAACTTCGTTCTTATTGAGCTCAACTTCAAAGTTCAAACCCGTGCTTTGACTTTGCTAGCCTTGCACTGCGCTGCACCTGGACGCCTAGTGGGACCCCAGGGCTGGTGAGCGTACGGACCAGCTGAGCTGAGTGTGATGTTCTCGGCTGTAGATCGGAACCGGACGAAATTCGGTGACGATTATTTACTGCTCTGGACAGCTTACAGCCGGGAGCTCCGCTACGTGTAGCATATCAGCACGTGCGATCTTGCCTTCTCGTTTGGTGTTTGTGCCCGGCACAAGGTGCGTGTTCGGCTCGGCTTGTCTCGGTTTGTTTAACTTATTTTTCCTTATAGAACACTATTAAATCAACTAAAACTAGCCGGAATAAATTAGTATACAGTAGTCTTGTGTACCAGCCGAACGGGCTGAAGATACTCGGACGACGCAGCATCTCGGATAAACTAATCGTGTGTAACCATCGCAATCGGGCACGAGCAGTGGTATCTGGACCGTATGATTGGCGTGTGATCATTCATTCGTAGTATGGCCCTGTTATGCACTACTTCACAGTACTTTTCAGTGTTTGCTCACAACAAATCAGCATAAATATCAACATAAGTCAAATTTCAGCGAAACGAACAGAGTCATATGTCCATTTTGATCAGATCCAGGGAAATCGTGGTGGAATTATGGTTGTTGGACCGATCGGCGCTGGGCGGGCGGGTGGTTGGGGCAGAAGGACATGAGGTTTATATTGGTTAAGGCAGAACGTCCCTATGTTCAGTTCTTCGCTGTTGCTCGTGTTACTAGCACGAAAATTTTACAGTAGGGGTTACAAACGGACGAGAGAGGGACGGGTCCCAAGTCTCTGGTGGAAAGAATAAACGGGTGCCGAGAGCTCGGTTGCTGCTCGACCGTGTGTTTGAGTTGTGCTCTGATCGGTTCGAGGTTCAATGGGTTCGTGATGGTTCAATCAGGTCTAGCATGGATCGATGCGATGCCTTTCGTGGGGCGCCCTGCTTTCCCTTTTATAGGCCAAGAGAAAACACGTGTCATAGCGGAGGGAAAGAGAAAAACGAGAGAGAGAGAGCCGAAGACCCTCAGGGTCGCCGGGTCCTTCTTCTCCTTCATACGGGTCTCGCCGACGCTGTAGATGTCAACAGGGACGGCGCCACGTCGCGGTCTTGTCCGTCACTGACGCCATGCACAGTCGTCGTATGCCGGTCACGGCGCTCCACTCCGTCCTGGCGGACGTCGTGGTGATCCGACGTGCCTATCAGTGTTCGTACAAGGGTTAGGCGGAACAACACCAATACACCCGATGCTGTTCCTGATGTGAATCCCTAGGCATGGCCCGTTATGGCCACGGGTTACACCGGGACATGCCAGTCTCTTCCTTGGCGTCAGAGTTTTGACCCAGGTCTATACGCTTGGACCTGGAATGGTTGACGACGGTATAAGACCCCATCGGGCGAGGCAGAGCCCGCACCCGAGGGGTCGGGCGAGGCGGAGCCTGTCCCCAGAGGTCGGGCGAGGCGGAGCCTGCGGCCTCGGGGTCAGGTGAGGCGGAGCCCGTGACGTCGGGGTCGAGCGAGGCGAAGCCTGCCCCCAGAGGTCGGGCGAGGCGAAGACCGCAGCCTCAGGGTCGGGCGAGGCGAAGCCCTCCCCCAGAGGTCGGACGAGACGGAGCCCGCGACCTCGGTGTCGGGCGAGGCGGAGGCCTCCCCCAGGGGTCGGGTTAGGTGGAGCCCGCGGCCTCGGTGTCGGGCGAGGCAGAGCCCGACCCCAGGGGTTGGGCGAGGCGGAGTCCACGACCTCGGTGTCAGGCGAGGCGGAGCCCTCCCCCAGAGTTCGGGTGAGACGGAGCCCGCTGCCTCGGGGTTGGGCGAGGCGGAGCCCCCGGGGCGGAGCCCTCCCCCGAGGGTCGGACGAGGTGGAGTCCGTGGCCTCAGGCTCGGGCGAGCCACGGCATCGGGGTCGGGCGAGGCGGAGCCCGCGGCCTCGGTGTTGGGCAAGGTGGAGCCCTCCCCTAGGGGTCGGACGAGGCGAAGTCCACGACCTTGATGTCGGGCGAGGCAGAGCCTGCGGCCTCGGTTGTGGGCGAGGCAGAGCCCTCCCCCAGGGGTCGGGCTAGGCGGAGCCCTCCCCCAGAGGTCGGGCGAGGCGGAGCTTACACGTCTAGGGGTCGGTTGGAGCTATAATCACGCTCTTGACTGCTCGAATGAATCCTCCTCCTCTTCGGATACTCTAGTACCGGTCCTCGACACCCACCGTCGTCACGATCAGCGGCACATGCGTGCCCGCGTTGTTGGCTGCCCGCTGGCGCTCCTTTAGCTAGCGCGCACGCAACGGCATCGCCGGGCGGGGTCGTGGCGGACCCGCGAAAGGCGCCGCGGTCGGCAGGGGTGGCCAACTGGGCTGGGATCGACCGCGCGTGGCAGGCAGCAACCGTCAAGGATCGAGGTGGCCTGGAGCCGTGGAGACGTGACGTGCACACGTGAATTAAACTCGCGTGCGCGATGCCTAGGTAGGGTACGTGTACGTTTTCGGCATGCTTTGGTCATGCGTTGCCGGGCCTAGCCTAGGGACAGTTTGGGTGACGGTGGGTGGGCCGAAGTTTGTTGCGTTGCGTGGCAGGAACTGTGGTTTTCAGCGGTGTTGCATAGGCCGTTTTCTGCACAACAAACCCAGTGCCACTTGCTGGGCCTGGCGCAGAACGACCTCCGGAAACTGGCCTGCTAGACAAACAGGCCCAGGACTATCATGGTGGATCCTGCTGTACGCTTCGGCTCCGACAGCGACAGGTACGCTTCAGCGCCTTCCGTTCGTGCCCAAACCCCGATCCCAAACCTCGCAAGCGACCACAACAATGGCGACCAGGGCGCTATCCGTTTCCTCGCTCGCCTCCACGGCCCTCGCATCCTTGCCGCGGCCCCGCAGGCCCTCACCTTCGCCTCCGCTCCTCCGCCTTCTCGGTCCTCGCTTCCGCGCCTCCTCTCTCTCCACCGCCGCCGCCGCCGCTCCCGACGACGAGGACGGCGTCGACACCGTGGAGCAGCTTCTGCACCCGCGCCCGCCCGCCGGATCCCGAGGCCGTATCGACCGGCTCATGAAGCTCCAGCGCCGCGCCGACGGCGACGCCGTGCCCGGGCCGGCGGGGCCCGGGGGCCGGAGGAGGTGGTTCCCGTACCTGGACGCGTTCCGGCCCGCGGCCGGGGGGCGCGGAGCTGTCCAGCGGGGAGGTCATCGAGGTGCTGGAGCCGCACATCCTCGAGGCGCGGCGGGACCGGATTCGGCGAGCCGTTGGCAACCGGAGCTACGCCGTTTGCCTTGTGGTGGAAGGCCTCTCCGACTTCGGCAACGTCTCGGCCGCGTTCCGCTCCGCCGACGCGCTCGGTGTGCAGTCCGTGCACGTCATATCCTGTGATAGCAGCAAAAGGTGCAGAGGTGAAGAGTGAAACTGAAATGCTACATATCACTTCACTTGCATTGTTGTTCATGTGGGGGGAGGCTGGGTGCCAGGGTGTTACTCTGTACAGAGTTATCAATTACCACTACCTGTCAAAGTTAGTTGATCAAACTCAAAACTGTGAGTGGACTATGAGAATCCTTGTGTCTCTAGAGCCTAGTTTGGATTGGATGAATTTGGTGCAATCAGCAATCCCATGAAAAGATTTTAGGCTTGTGACTTGTCGAGCGGCACAGCTGCACATTTTCCACATTAGAGTTTACATACAAACTATTATCCACCAACTTTACCTTCCTCCAAAATGAGTAGTTTGCATAATTCATTGCCTGCTCTATTTTGAGGTGCCGGATAGGTGATAGGTATTGTTTTTGAGCTCGTGCATTTCGTTGTACTTTATTCAATGAGCTTAAACTACATGATTGCTGGGAAATGACTGGTAGGCTATGCTGTTCCAGTCTAGAACTGTGAAAACGACCCTACATAAGCAGAACGATCCGCATTCTTAAAGTTGCCAGATTGGATACTGGATCTGTACTCTAAAAAAACTTGACCTGCAGAAGGTAAGACAGCCCCTGGGCATTGCATTAAGAAGAAGACCTTCTCACACTGGTCGAGAAAACACCACTGGATCTGTACTCTCACTAATTAATTCTCAATTTGGATGGATCATGAATGTGACAAATCGTACAGGAATAAGGATTTGCAGATTACTGTTATTCTAGTGTTTTCACAAGGATCTTGTGCTCTGTTTAGAACTTTTAGCATATAGGAGTATACTGAGGAGTTATTAAACTAGATATCCATTAAGGGTGAAAATTCACAAGTTTGACATTACATCCTTTGGAAATGATAGGTTCCACTCAAGTAAACTGTTCTTCCTCATTCAAATGCTTCTTTGCTTTGCAGGTATAGAGACAACAGGCATGTGAGCATGGGTGCTGAGAAGTGGCTTGACATTGAGATATGGAACTCACCTGCAGAATGTTTCAGTGCATTAAAAAAGCGTGGTTATCGCATTGCAACCACTTATTTGGGAACTGATTCGGTATTTTTTTTTTTCACTCTTCAACATTTTAGTGATTTGGTATTTTTTTTCCACTCTTCTACATCTTTATCTATCGGTTTCCTTGGAAATCTATGATCCACTATTCTACATGAATTTCAGATGTCATGTGTCACTGAATGCACGATCATCTGTTGTTTTTCTGTGAAAAGCAGCAGTTATTATTTTGTACAAACAGTGAAAATAGTATGTCCAATGATTTACAGAGACAAGATGCATATATTAAAGAAAATATTTGCTGTGAAACCGTATTGTTTGAGTGTTTGGTCAATGGTCATTATGTTCTGTCTGAGGATACCCAGAGTATAAAGTTGTGTGTCACAAATGGATTTTTCAGGTGAAATCAATGACATATGTATCAGTTTTTCACCATTCATCAGGATTTAAGCTTTCTCACATATAAGTAATATGGTTGAGGGAATAATTATGTTCCAAATTTTCTTAGGTTTGTGTCTATGACATGGATTGGTCTCAACCAACGGCTATTGTTGTGGGAAATGAGCTTAGGTATGGGCTGTTCCTTGTATCTGGATATGTATCTTTTGTTGAACTTGCATTACATTTAGAAATAAGCACTCAATTACTAGGTTGTGCTTTCCGTTGTATTTTTCTACCCCTTTATTTTTCAAAGCACATTTTTTTTCTGAAAACATTTCTTAGATCTGCTTACTAGCTTTGTGATGCAGTATTTGAGTCTCTACTAACATCACTTCCCATAGCTAAACATGTAAAAACAATTCAACACCTTTTGTTTAAGCGATTCGGAAACAACAATAAAAATATCAAATGATATATAACATAGCACACTAACATGAATGACCATCTTAATAGAGGCCATAAGTGCTAAATATTTAAACAACAAAACCACTATCAAAGCTAAACAAACAATATTATATAACCAAACTCTTAAAAAAACCAATAAATCATTCTTTATTATACAAGACTAAAATCATTTAAATAACTATATTAAGTGTATGATGTGCTGCTCCTCTTGCAAAAGGAGTAGCATATGTTCCCTGGTTTATAGGCTAGCTGCAGTGCCATGAATTAGATATTGTATATCATGTACACATGTCCTGTGTTCTGGCCTTGAAGTTTTGAATCCAGAAACCAGGATTTCATATATGCGATTAGATTTTTTTTTTTTGATAATAGAGTAGAAAGTTTTAAGTACTTCATTGTGGAGAGTAGTAGCATAGGCATTTATTTTCCATCATGATACGTACATTAGCTGATACATTAATATTTCACCGCACAATGAAAGTTGGGTATTAACTAATTCTTTGGTGGCAGGGGTATAAGTGATGATGCTCTAGAGCTATCAGATTTGCACTGTAGCGTTCCAATGAAAGGCATGGTGGATTCGTTTAATGTATCTGTTGCAGCTGGAATCCTCATGCACCATGCTGTTTGTGATAGAGTTTCCCGCCTGGTAAGTGCACTTTCTTCATTCTAGTTATCATCATACCTTATAGAAGACATCATAACCTCAATCCACTATTAGCAAAGTTCTATCTATCATCATATGGTACTGCTACCTTTGGCTTTCAGGTTTCAGCCAAGAAAAAGAAAAGGGTTATTTTGATTAGTACCATTACAATTTTCGAAATTTTGAGAACTACCATTACTATTCACCTATTTTGAGATGAGCCATTACAATTCTTCAGGACTCTGAAATATACCATTATATACGCTTTGGATGCTGTTGGGCCCATATGCGGACCAACGATTTTCAGTATTGCCAAGAGTACCCCTCGTCCTCTTTCGTCCATATGATCGCCGTGTGGGTCCCGTCGTCATCTTCTTCCTCCTTCCCGTCTTCTTCCTCTGCAAAGATACCGACCAAGCGCCACGCCGGAGCTCTGCTGCGTTAGCCGCGACCGCTTCGTTGCCGACCTTGTCCCGTAGCTTCATAACACCGAGGATGGCGGCCTTGCCGCCGTAGAAGCAAACAGACAGAGAAGGGGATCGCGCGACGTAGCACATCGTCAACTCGCTCGCTAGCTCCATAAACGCCGCCGCCGACATGATCTGCATCTTCTCCGGCTTCGACAACCACCACTCGCTCACGTCCGACCTCTTGCCTCCTCCCACCGCCCATTGTCGATTCCATCCTGGAGGCGGACGAGCCCGACTTCGACGAAGACGACACGCCATGTCACGCCGCTTTGCCTCATGGGCGCTTGAGGAACCTGCTGCTGGTCGAGGTCGGCTCCGCCACCTACCCCGTCAGGTAGGCCGCCGCTTGCCGTCGGGGACCTCGAGGCCTCGCTCCTCTTCTCCGGCAGCTCTCGCCACGGGTATACCATGTGGCGGCGAGCACACCGGGGTGGCTTTGTGGGGCACTAGAACTGCTTGGTCGGACGAGAGCGGAGCTCATGGGACTACTGAACTCGGCGGGTACCTCCCATGGTGGGGAATGGCCGAGCCGGCGAGAGAGCGGCGCGGGCGGACACGGGCCATGGCGATACTTCGGCGAGCACGTGCGCACAGCAGAGAGAGAGGAGGGAGAGATCGATACTGGCGGGTTCGTCAGGTCGCTGCGAAGCTCGTGAACCTTCTATAGTCAACTGAGGCGCGGCCGTGGCGTAGATCGACGGCGGCGGCGCCGAGCTTGGGGGTGTAGCTATGGCGGCGGCGCGCTAGGGCTAGCGGTGGCGGTTGCGGCTGCCCTAGGGTTCCGAGAGGGGCGCAGCGCACTTGAGACCTTCCTTAAATAGGCGGCGGGGATCCTAGTGAAGCGCACAAGGGTGAATCGACGGCGACGACGGCGTCTGCGCGATGCGGAGCAGCGGGGAAGAACGGCTGCTCCCGCTGTCGCGTGGGGCCGGGCTGGCAGCGCCTCACGGCACAGCTAGCACAGGGAGTTAGGGGAAGAAGACAGGGAAGGAGGAAGGTGATGATCAGTGGGGTCCACACGTCAGTGACATATAGAGATGAAGGTGGAGGGGTAGTCCTGTCCATTCAAAAATATGATGACGTCATGTACACCTGCAGCTGGGCCCAAGGTCTCCCCGAACGTATATAATGGTATATTTCAGAGTGCTGAAGAATTGTAATGGCTCATCTCAAAATAGGTGAATAGTAATGGTAGTTTTCAAAATTTCGAAAATTATAATGGTACCAATCAAAATAACCCAAAAGAAAACTTTATCTTTGAACTTTACAATAATAGTGCTCATAGCGTCATACCTTTGTTACCAAAGGCCTGTTTATAGACCAAAGACCACTTGGTCCTGCTTTTATTGAAAACAACAGAAGTCACCTCCACCTCACTAGGAGCAACAGGCCTCTTTAGCTTTGCTTAAATTTATGCCAGTCACTTGTGCTGTTGAATCTATTCTCTGTCTGATTAGGCTGTTTAAGATAAGTTGAATCTTGCAGAGAGCAGCCTCTAAGATATTGTCAGAGCCATATATTGACTGTGGATCTTATCTCATAAACTATGTTATGCTTCTAGGTGTAAACTCAACCTGGCTCTTCAATTACTATACAAGAATGACTAACACAAACTAAAACTACCAAATTTGGCATATACATGATATTTAACCTGGACTGTAACAATTCATATAGAAAACACTGTGGAGTTTAATACTCCCTCCGTTCCAAATTATAAGTCGCTTTGACTTTTTTGGTACATCCATTTTGCTATGCATCTACATTTCCGCAGATTTTGCGGGGGAAAGGCTTGTCTCGGTTTATCCCTTCCCCAGACCCCACTCATGTGGGAGCCTCCAACATTTGGAGTCTGCCCATTTTGCTATGCATCTAGATATAATAATATGTCTAGATACATAGCAAAATGAATGAACCAAAAAAAAAGTCAAAGCGGCTTATAATTTGGAGCGGAGGAGTAGCTGATTTGCAAATCTGGTCTGTTTATTGGATTGTTTAAATTGTCACCTTTGGACTCACTGGATTTTTAAGTGATCTGAATGAACCCTTTTCCTCCAAAGTTGGAAAGTTTTATTTTATGTTCCAATCCATATATTTTGTACGCTAAATGCACCTCCAAATGTGACAATTGTGGATTAATATTTGCAGTAAGCTAGCCCTTAACTGTCAGCAATGTTTTCAAATCGTCTAGTCGTATGGTCCTGATCAGCCGATTAATAGTGTTTTTAGTCGTCAATCAGGTCCGATTGGTCAGTGACTAGTACGTTAGTCCAGCATAGTTGTCCTGCCTACTTGCCTTGCTGCCAAGGATGTATACTAGTAAATAGAATGACTGTATAAGTATGAAGTAGTTAAGTAGTCAAGGGCCTGTTTAGCACAGCTCCTAGAAATACTGCTACTAGACTACACAGCACCAGTGCGCAGCTGCATAGTGCACTTATCATGAATTTGTAAACATAGCAAGCATCTAGCATGGTCACTTATGGGCTAAAACAGAAGGCCCAGTGCCCAAGTGCCCCAGCCCATCTGGGTTGCTCACAATTTCTTTCTGTGGCTAGTAGTCCATGAGCTAACTGGATGACTAATCGTGATTAGTCGGATGATCAGATTTAAGACGGCACTAGTTGCCTCAGAGTGATGACTTGATAATTCTGGCTGTCAGCATCTTATGTTTGGTGTTTTTCAGGGCCATCACGGTGATCTCTTACCTGAAGAAAATAGAATATTGATTGCTGAGTTCTATCTGCGACATAGAGAAAGCACGGCTACTATAGTTCATGAATATGCCAAAAGGAAGGCAGAAAATTTTATGGCCAGACTTTGAGAACATCCTGATGCCTACTAACGCATAGTGTCTGCTAAGAAGCTGAGTGATGTGTTTGGCAATCAAGTGTTGGATTATCTAGTGCATTTTTCTAACAAAAAAACGAGGTGGTGAGTTTTTTTAACCATTCAGGGCAGCTTATTTTGTTTAATCAATTTTTATACTTTCAGTGTTCACTTTTTGTATACCACCTTATGTGGTCATCGTTGCAAACAGTAATATGAAATTCTGAATTTGGTATGAAGGCTATTTTTCTGGAGAGTACTGTTGGGCTACTTGGGTCTTCAACTGATACGAGACAATGATTCCCACCAGATTGCTGGCAAGTGGTAAGACTGGACCCAAACCCAACAATCGAGCAGAGTTGTTAACAGTTACTCATACGGTTTTCAGTGACGTGGACTTTTGCTCCCAAATTAGGCGTTAACTATGTAAGTTTTTGTTGGGATTGAAAGCTTAATATGTTTCCACTTGTTGTTTTTCACAAATGTTGGCGATGCTCCATGTCCAACTGACGGTTAGGACCGGAAGCTGGTATAACAGTATCAGTATAACCTCTAGTCTTCTGGAGGGCTGAGAACTTGATGTTCTATGAAGGTGCCGTGTAAAAGGGCTCCACTTTGTCTACGCGAGGATGATGCGGTTGCAACGCAAAGCGGTGCAACTGGTCACGGTGGAATGCCGTCTTTAATCTCGCCACCAAACTCTGCTAGGGAAAGCTACGGACAGGGGCCTCTTGCTCCTTGGGTGTCGAGTGCAAATTGCCAAGCTGACTGCTCAAATGGTCAAGTGGGCTGTACTCTACTTGTTCGCTTGCTTGACTCTACTTGGCCGGGGGTGATCGCAGCAGGATAGCAAGTTGCCCGTGGGCATGCCAGGAAATTTGGTGCGGGTCATACATAGTAATAGTTGCTGAAAACGACACGGTTCTGTGTAGTTTTATGCAAAGCACTAAACGATGCTCGAACGGCTTTAGTAGATCAAAGCCGTGAAAGCTACTGTCGGTAAAAGACACAGCCTAAGAAAAAACTTGTGTCGGTAAAACTAGTCAATCATCCCCCATTTTCATTTTCACGACACGTTCGGACGTTCCTCTCTCTTCAGGACAACTGAAAATATCCCAAGGGATCCTGCGGTCCACGCTCACGCCGTACGATCCCACCGTCCACCCGATTAATCAAATATAATCAACGGCTAATGTAAAGCAGCGGAGAACCTCGCGCGCCGCATGCAGGTCATGCTGTGCGGCTCCCCGTGTCCCGGCCCCGAGGCGGCTCCACCTGCAGCTAGGGGTTGTTTGGTTTTCCTTCTAAATTTTAGTCGCTCTTTCGTTGGATATTTGATATATGTATGAAGTATTAAATATGTATAATTACTTAAACTAATTGCATAGTTTGTGACTAATTTGCGAGACGAATCTTGTAAGTTTAATTAGCCCATGATTTGACAATGTTTGCTACAGTAAAATATATGCTAATAACGGATTAATTAGGCTTAAAAATTTGTCTCGTGATAATCTTGATTTAATTATGTAATTTATTTTTTATTAATTTCCAAACACCTAAATACAACATTCTCTCGACACACCTCCTAAATATATTTAGTAACCGCATCCTAACACCCCTTTATTCGCGGCCACCGCCTTTTCTTTTTTTTTTTTTTTTTGACGCCTCAGTTCAACTCGAACTTCCTCGAAATGCCCCTGCCGGCCGCACCCGCCGGTGTCGGCCTCACCGCACCAAGTCGGACGCCGACTGGCGCAGGGCGTTTCCGTAACCCCGTGCCCCAGCCCGGTCGCTTCTGCAGTTCCGCCGTCCCCGTCCCCGCATCGCGCCTCGGACAGCTGGACCATGCCCCGTCACGGCCTCGCGTGGATGGTCAGTTCTGCCCTGGCCCCTTGCGGCCTCGCGGGCGCGGCGCACGCATCAGACGCCTATCTACGTCTCGTTGGCCGGGTCGTATTTGTCTTATAAGACGTGCTTATCAGCCACAGACGGTATTTTTCTTTCACGCTAAATCAGCCGATACTTTCAGCCAGCCAAACAGTCCCAAACGGTGCGGGCCGTGCGGCTCGATCCGGCCTGACGATTCCGATCCCCTCCCGTCCACCATCCCGTCTCGGTCTCTCGCTCTCCACGCCGGTGACCGGAGAAGGGGCCGCGCAGGCGACGCCCACGGCCACGGAGACGGCGAATCGTTCCCCACGCTCCGGCTTCGGCCAGCCCCGCGGCGACGCGCCAGGTAAGCCTCGGTTCGCCGTCGCTCTGTATCTCCCGCGGGAATGGATGCGCAACGCGTGTTCAATGGCGTCACCGTCACCCTATGCTACTTGGCCGCGAGCCCCGTCTCCTCCTCTTGTCGAGTGGAGAATGCCGAGATGACAGGAGCTAGCGCTCGAGTAGCGCTTGCGCCGTGCCGCTCGCGAAGAATCGCACCTGGGTATAACTTTGTCGAGGAGCTCCCGATCCACGCTGGCTGGGAGAACCGCGCTCGCAGAGCAAGCGAGCGCCTGCACTGCCTGCTCTGTCTGATTGACCGTAGTTGCTTGCTGCACGCAGCTAGTACATAGTCTGCCCCCTCTAGGTTTCCTAGGCGACATTGGGGTTCGCCTAGGAAGCATTTCGTGCTGTTGGTTCGAGCTTTACAAGTGATAGTGAAATGTTGGTTTTTCAGATATATGAATGACAAAGGAGGACTTTTCCTGCGCTTATGTCGTTCCTATGAATTTTCTTTGATTGCCAGCACTGGTAACCAGTCAATGATGACTGCCCAATAATTTAACTTTACCATTTTTTTTAAAAAAAAAAACAGGATTGAAGTGGGCATGAGAAGGTGGACATCGTTGCTCTAGTGATTTGATTACAGGAGATGGTGTTGGTGTTTAAGCAGCACCGCTGCACACACTCTGCGAGCTGCATTTGCATCAAGGGCCACCTCAGTGAGGATGCTCTGTACCTCGTCTTCAAACACATGAACTGGAACCCGAGGCTGATTGCTATCCTGTCATGTGTGTGCAAGTGGTTTGACGAGGTTGCCAAGCAGGTGCTGTGGAAGGAGTTCTGTAATGCAAGGGCTCCAAAGATGATGCTGGATTTGCATTCAGGTGGCAGCCACATTGTTGATGGTAACTGGAAAGCGCTGGGGAAGCTGCTCATCTATTGTAATGGCTGCACAAAAGGGGGGCTGTTTAATAACATCCATGTTCCAGGCCATTTTGTGTTCAGGACACGCTTTTCTAGGACTGCGGGCAGGAGTTTCCTGCCTCTGCCATGTAAGTCGGACGTCCTGTATGTGTCAGATCCATGCGAGCATCTTGATCAGGGGGAAGAAGGTGACTTGGGTTTCTTCCGAGGCATCTTTAAGTCATTTGCCACTTCAAGGGTAAAGAAGATGTTGATTGAGAAGCAGGCTAGGTTTCATCCAACGGAGTTGTGCCCTTATTGTAAGGCCAAGCTATGGAACATGTTCCAGGAAAATATGATTCCAAGGAGTGCTTCCGCTAGGTTGGGTGCCTATGATGATTCTGTCGAGTATTTTGTATGCCTGAATGGACATGTTATTGGACTTGGTACCCTGCTACCACTCTCGGACTCGGAGGAGGCAGCAGATGAGTAATCATCAAGAACATGAATCAGGTATCATATATTTTCTGTTGATTATTTGTGAAGAATAGATAGATTCTTTATATGATGTATTAAAATATAGAAACACAGGTAGGCCTTTTCCATGGCACATTTCTTCTTGAATCTTTTGTGTAAACATCAAGTTTCATGTGCAGACATGTCTGGATGTACATAGACTGATTGCCGTTCAATATTACTATATTAGTTTGTGTTTGCATACACTCAATGCTTAATCCTATTTATTTAATGCATAACTTGCTCAATATTTCATATCATATACCAAGATTTTCTCCGGGTAAGCTGTAACTCCCAACGAACTTAGCATAAGCATGTTGGGATATCATATCACATAATGCTTATTTGAGATTTTATTTTAGGAATTTTTTACATTTAAAAAGGAAACATTACTAGCAAAACTATTCTCAAGGGTTTCTATGCTTATTTCGTAATGGCATCAGAATTATTGAATCGATTCTTAGAATCCCAAATTTTTAATGCACTCCCTATCTGTTTCTGGCACCCTTCTGTTTGGCCCTACTTTTAAAGTTTATATATGCTACTTGAGATTTGTATGGTACATCAAGTCACAATCAGTGATAACTATCTTCATTTTATAAGTGGCAGCACACAAGTTTTGGGAGGCAGTTTGCTTATGAACACCCAAAAAAAAAATCACCATTCCAATTCTCACTTCTGGTACTTGAAAATTATGAGAGCAGTCAATCTGTATTGATGATATAATGCAGTTTTTTTTTAATTCTCTTTAATCAAATATTCACATGACAAGCATTCCTTAATATAAATCTAGATGTACTGGTTAATTTTCAGAAGAGCCATATTGTCTGGCCAATTTGTTCTCTTATTTATTTGTGAAAAAATTATGAGGAAAACCTGCATTGCTGATATCCTGTTTTATTTGTGATTTGCTAGTTTTCGTTGCTTTATCTACTTAGACCATAACAAGTTAACAGCATTTGGCGACAAGGTAGCAGACTCTCTCAAACTAAAGGGTGTCAGAGCTGTGATCTAGTATTCACTAATAATATATAAAAATGCAATGTAGTGACATATGTAGGGTAAAAGGCAGTCCAAACGGAAATTCTTGTTCTGGTAAAGTGAAACAAACATGTGTTCTGAACTGACTCACCTTTTGTTGACAGGTTTCGAAGATTGAAGCCCTGGGCTTGTGAAATGGTACTGAATCTTGGTTGTGACTAGCAGAGAGTGGGATGCCATTGGTTCAGCAAACTGTCGCAAGAGAAGAATCTGTGATGGGCTCCGCATCGGACTGCAGCTGTGTTCTTCAGGGGGTCTCTTGCATCAGATTGGAAAAAAAGAGAGCTATTTTATAGTGTCTCTCCATTATTTATTGATGTC